AAAAGCCTATAAAAGTTACGCGTTATATAACTGTTGAAGTGGTTTCACTCTCTTCGCAGTCGTTTGTTCACTTGTCACAGAATGAAGTTCTCCGAGAAATTGACATCAACTCCAGCAAACTCTAGTCCAAAAACGCCTTTGGGTTAAACGTTTTTCGCTTCAACTTGAACAACTGCTGCAGTTGACGTCTTTTTTACGAATTTTCTCTCCTACCAAATTTCCTTCGCCTCACCCTCCACAACGATCATAGTCATGCCGTGACTATGATCTTTGTGCTATGATCATTTTCACCTCACTGTGCGCTGTTCAAAAACAATCGTCAACTTCCCTCAAATTTGATTTCTTCGCGCAGTCAGACGAAATCATGACATTTCGAACCCACATTCATGATGACAATTACAGTATAAGCATATGAGAGGAAACAATAAAGTGGAGTCGAGAGCACTGCTCATCAGGAACTCTGCGCGATCCGTCGTCAAGAGCTGACGTGAAGTCTGGCATGGTTTGATTGCATATCAATTTGGAGTTGTTTTTATACTCTCGAAAGGAATCGCATTAACCCATTTACATCACTCAAAATCAACACAAATCTCGTAGTTGATATGAATGCTTTCAAAATGCTCTCCGTAAATTAATATTAATGCGATTAGCAATTCAAACTCCATCTGATGTGGAATTGTTAGCGAAAAATTTCCTGCAAAAAGAGTGAGCGTTTTGCAGGCTCTCTGCAGGCATTTCACCGGTGAGTTTTTGCAGAACTGCTATCAGAATTGAAAATTGTTGAGATTATTGCCGTTGTTCAATGGTATCATCGCGAAACTGGCACTAACAATGGTTTATGATAATTAGTAGTGAACAACTGTGTGTGATTGTCGTTTGAGTGCGTGATTGGTGGTTGACACTCACCAGTTAGCCGTTGCCGATGGCTTTGCTATTGACATCAAGAATACCTCAGTGATCGATCTCGAAACCAATCCTCTGAGATTCTTTATGAACCGACAATGAAGTAAAGGAGTGCGAGTGAAATAGATGAAATGAAAAAACTGCGTAAATCATACTCACTCATCGTTTTGGTACGGTTTGTCGAAGGAGCTGAAGTGATCAAATAGAGCTCAATTCTGACAACGGTGGCAGTTGAATGAGCTTTGAGAATTCAAAGCTTTCAGAATTCAAATCCTCGGCGTTGCAATAACTGCGCAAAAAGTTGCTTTCCAGTTCAAAAACGGTCATTCTCTATTTAATTTGCTGCCCTCAGCCAAGTTCTACTTGGTCGCATGTGGTTGATCCGTTCACAGTGAATGTTTACAGTGACTTTCATCCACCCGTCTTTTATCTGTTTCATCTATGTATGTCCCCATTTTATCTCATTCGTAGCCAACCGTGTTGAATTTCAGAAGAGAACAGCACTTACTGCAGTGCTAGTGTATTTTGCTCACATAATTACATTTTCAACTTTTCACTTTCTAAAATATTTTCCATTACTTGCAGAAATGTTCATGCAGTAAAATAAACTTGTCGCAATATTTGAAGTTTATGTTCAGAGGGATTTGCATGAATAAAAACTTTGAATGGAAGTTTTGCATATGCGCTGATTTCGAAAAGATTCTCGGGATGATCTGTTTACGATTCAGCTCATCGGAGTGAACGATTTGTACGCATGAATCGACTGAATTTCAATCATTCCATATTCAAGTTCAATGAATTCGAGGCACTGCAAATGAATATGCTTAAAATAAACCGATTAGCTGGCTGATCATAAACGAAAAACAGAACGTATTATCTATTCAGTTAACATGAATCTCTGCTTTGATGCACAAAAATGATCAATAACTCGTTCATAAGGTCTATTATCACTGTGGTTTATGTAGTATTATCATTATTGTTATCGCAATGATGATGATTACTATTTTTCAGTAAGTTTATGATTATTACCATTATTGCTATTAATAATGGTGCTATCAGTATCATTGTCAATACTGCGTTATCATTACCCTGGATGGTTCTGATATTAGCATTAAGATATACGCTAGCAAGGTGCATCTGCATCGTTATCGCATTCCTTTTCATAGCAAAATGTTGATGCGAGTAAGATCAAGAGCGGTGAGCTGATCAAGTGAACATATTAAATTCCACGAAATGAGTAGTAATTTTATTCAATTTCAACACTGCAATTAGTTAATTTGCATCAGTTATTGAATAAATTGTGGATTAAAGGAATAATTGAAGGTAAAGCTATAATCGGTTAAAAATAATGTGAATTGTAAGAAATTTGATAAAAATCCCCAATGAACACTAATGAAAGATCCCATTGCATGGTGAAATATTTTGAATGAGAGAATCCTAATGAAAGGTAAACAACTAAGACGAAAGAATATTCGACAACTACAAAAGCAACGACAATATCAAAGAGTTCGATGATAATGATGACAGGCAGCATTGAAGGAAATGACACATTTTATTGAGCCTGATTTTCATCGAATCGTTGGCCCATCCTTAATCCAGGATACAATGAAAATTTTTAGAGTTAAATTTAACGTTCTGAAATGTTTAATTGACATTCTTACGATTAGCAACAATTCATTTTTCAGTTTAACGCATAAAATCCATTTAAAAAACGCATTTGAACATCGACCATTTGCGAATGGTCATATGTAATGTGCGAGTTCATTCATTTTTTCGGATAATCGCAATACTGATTTTCTTGATTCCACACTAAATCTCCTGGGCAAGGCATATGGTTTGCAATGGAATTACTACACTGGTAGTAGTGGTGATCATCTTCGGGATCTGCGTACAAACCATTTGGTTCAGGACACTCGAAATCTGAAACCACTGATGAGTTAATCATTGATCTGATGAATTGTCTGCTCATTCACTTCACCTACTGAGTTTCGTTCGGCCAGTGTTAGGGTTAGAACATTCTTTATTGCAGGAGAGAGGGAAGGGGGATTTTTCCAGCGGCGAACGATTGCTTTTCGGGTCGTTCCTTTGTTTTTGGTGGTAACTGTCGAAAAAATCTCTCCATTCCCAACCGTAGCCAGTATCTATTGTGTTAACAAGGTATGAAAAGTTTAGCCGCACTATGGACAAGACCACATGTAAATGCCTAACTCTCAACACATATCAGTGTACTTTTCCAGCTCTCTGACACCAGCTTTGATCCTCCAACAACAAGCTGACATTCTTGACCAAACTAAGCGATCATCTTTACGAATATTCTTGCCAAAAAACCCTGCCTTAAACACTAATCTCACACGTCTGGAGGATGCCCTATCAAACGGAGATTCATCTAATTTTAAGCGTATAGAATCACCTTCTCCAGATGAAGGACTTGTGGGCTCTGATGTAATTGTTGTTGTAATGAGCTCGCTGGTTGCGGTAATTGGCTCATTTGTGGCTGCAGAAGTTGTAGATCCTGACGAAGGTGTGCTTTCCGACGTTGGCTTTGTCTGCAGTATCACAATCACCGTTACTGTTGATGTTATCAGCACATTCATTGCTATTATCGCTAGCATTGTTAACGTCATCAGCATCAATCGTTATCACTATGAGAATTTTGACTCCCGAATTGATTGAATAAAAATCACAATTCCAATCAAAAATCACTGCCATCCACATCCACTAGGATGAAAGATTTTCACCTCGAATGAGATAAACAAAGTGATTCTGGTTCATTTCTATAGATCACTTCTATGCAGTAACAAGGGAAAGAGATCAGTTGCGAACGATGAGCCGTCTGTTAAAAAATGCTACGAAAAAAAGATAAAGTCAAAGAGTTGCGTGGTGCAATTGAAAATCCATGTATCGTTGGTTTTTGAGTGCTGCTCAAAGCGAACATTTCGATTCAGGCCAGATAATCTACTGTTGCTCTTAAATATTGCAAAATTTGAGCCAATGCGCAATGATATCGCTGGCAATAACCGAACGGATTTCTCAGAGATTGTCGAAATTTCGAAATGCAATTAAAAAACTTGCCACAGGATCGACAGTGCCTCCTCCGAGTTCTTTTTGGATCGTAGTGAGCAGAGGGTATTTTCCTTCTGAACAAGACTTATCATTGAAGTCGTCGAAATCTAATGTCCAAATGAACGCACCAGCAAACGCGTTCTCCTTCACAAATTGCATCTAAACGAGAG